TAATTGTATTGCAAGAAAAACACACTGGGAAGACACCAGTCACATACCTGTGAAAACCAGGCTGGTGTTTTCAAGTTCTTCTTGGGCAACCTTGAAGCTGAAGGACTCATTGTAGAAGGGGTCAATGGTGGCCCTCATGCAAGAGGTCTTCTTGGTCTTTGTCAATTTTAACCCATGGACAAGCTGGATTTTCACAAAAGGATCTGAATAGAAAACACAAGACAACTCCAGCTTTGCATACGAAGAGCTCTGTTCGTACATCAGAGTGAGTTATTTGAACCGTAGTTCACTGAGCCAGAGTGAATTTTAAAGATGGAACCATACTTTGCTTGTCCAGCTCCTGTTTGTTTGTTTGTTGTTGGCTTTTTGCAGCTCTGTTTTAGCTGTTCTCACTTTGCATAATTACAGTTTGCTGAGAGGCTTACACGCACAAAATGAAACCAAGACCAAACTGGGAAACTGTAAAATATAAGCCCTATTCACACGTCACGCTAAGTCACAAGTCCAGTCGCAAAACCAAGAAGAAACCATGGTTTCAAAAGGTGCATTATCAGTCAATCATGGTTGACCTGTTATCTTCTATTCGTAGGTTACCCTAAACCGGGGGTCTTCAAACTTGACAGTTTTAAGACTTATGGACTTCAACTCCCAGAATCCCTCCTCCAGTCATGTTAGCTCAGGAATTCTGGGAGTTGAAGTCCACAAGTCTTAAACTTGCCAAGTTTGAAGAGCCTTGCCCTAAACTGACATAGATAGAAACCATATTAGATCATAGCACAATGTATGAATCCAGACAATATTATTTGGATATTGTTCTGGATTATAAGACCCATCATTCTTGACCTTGACCTGCTTGGAATTAGTCTTCATGACTAAAAACACTTGGAGAAAGTGGATTTTTGAGGAAGTTCCTCAGGGAAAAACAGTAACATCCATCTCTTTCTCAAGAATATGGCTTCAAATTTTAAGAAACATGAAACATATTTCTTATGACTTAGAGATGAAGCTGTTTTCCCAGACATTTCATTCCATTTTATTGGTGTCTTCAAAGACTCTGTAAAAAAGGGTGGGTATCAATTTTTTGTCTGTTGGTGCCCACCATAAGAAATTTGAAGGCTGTCTGACTCACATGATTTGGTCATGCTCCTTTACACCAATTTTTTTTTAGGTTTCAAGCCATAAACTATGTTACATAACTCTGGGGAGATGCATAACCATTAAATCTGAGGCAGTTATATTCCTAAAATATGGAACTTGCCATGAAAATCTCAAGCTCTCTCTAGAGAATTGTCCTGTGTAGGTGGAAAGAAATCAACACGGCAGATGTTAAGAGTGGATAAAAGATTTATATTCTCTATGCATCTTTAAAATGTTTTACATTTGTACAAATGAGAAAACAGAGCACAATATTCCTAGGTCTGTCATCTACATTTAATTATACGTTAAAAGGTTAAGCTATATTAACGCTGTATGAATCTTTTCTCTCTTTCTCATTCTGTCTCTTTCTCCCTGGTTTTAATCATCATGCATATTATTGTTCTATTTTTTATTTTTGTTAAATATATACTACAGCATAATAAAAATTACGAATAATACAGGAACTGGGCATGGCTAGTCTAGAGAAGAGAAGGATCAAGGAAGATATAAGAGCAGTCTTCCAATATTTGAGGGGCTGCCCCAGAGAGGAGGAAGGGGTCAAGCTATTCTCCAAGGCACCCAAAGGCCAGACAAGGAACAATGGATGGAAACTGAACAAGGAGAGATTCAATCTGGAAATAAGGAGAAACTTTCTGACAGTGAGGACAATCAACCCATGGAACAGAAGTTGCCTTCGGAAGTTGTGGGAGCTTCATCACTTGAGACTTTCAAGAAGAGATTGGACTGCCATTTGTCAAAAATGGTGTAGGGTCTCCCGCTTGGGTGGGGGGGGGGTTGGACTAGATGACCTATAAGGTCCCTTCCAACTCTGATTATCTGTTATCTATTATCAGGTAATCCTCAATTTACAATAGTTCATTCAGTGACCAAACTTACAATGGCACATGACCTTTTTCACACTTATGACCATTTGAAGCATTTTGTTGTGATTAGCTGGCAACAATGAGGAGGACGTTCCCGAGGAGCCTGTGCTAGGTGTGAGTGAGAGCAGGATGATTCATGGAAGAGCAGCACAGGTGACTCGGGAGTAAGAATGCTAATTAATGGCCCCTCCCTCCAGGGAATATAAGCCTGGTTTCAAACGGTTTTTGCCTTTGCAAAAGGCAAAAACATTTGAAGGACCCAGTGTGTGGTTACAGACTCTGATTTATGTGAAGACTTCTGCCACGGTTTTTCTAATTGGACTACTTGGCTGCAAGCCATCTGTTATCTACAAAGAGGTCTATTTGCAGATTAAAGCCTGTGAAAGTTTTGAGTTATTGAGTTTATCTGTGTTTGCTCTCAGATACTTTGGCTGGGTCAGAACACAATTCCCATGATCCTGTGATTAAAATTCAAACGCCTGGCAACTGATTCATATTTATGACCGTTTCAGTGTCCCAGGGTTTACCTGATCCCCTTTTGCGACCTTCTGACAGGCCAAATCCATGGGGAATCTGGATTCACTTTACA